TCACAGATCTGACCTGAGCAGGATCCATAGCCTTTGGAAGTGCTCTTGATTAAGGACACTGCTCACTGCTCCATTTTCATTCCAATGTCACCACCCTGGGGCTAAATTGTCTGGAAGGATGTCTGTCAACAGAAATGTCCAAGGAGGGGAGAGGTAATAGGATCCTCCTCCAGAACTGGGACCATGAGCAGCTACAACTGTGGGGACAACACTTACCCTGTTTAAGTACCTAGAACTGTAATGGGGTAGCTTTTAAAAATCTTTTTAAAGTGAGAAAAGAGAACGTTGTGAAGTGTTTCTAAACTGTGGTAGGCACTATCATTGCCCCTTACAGATATTCTGAGTTTTATCCCTCGAACCTGTGACTTATGTTTTTTGGCAAAAGGCACTTTGCCCATGTGATGAAGTTGTAGGTAGTGAGATGGAAAAATTACTCTGGATTTTCTAGGTGGTCCCTCCATGTAATCTCAAATGTTCTTTGAGGAGGGGAGAAGAGAGAGAGACAGAGGGAGGGAGAGAGAGAGAGAGAGAGAGAGAGAGAGACTAAATGACATAAAAAAGAGCAATTGTGACCATGGGTACAGGGGAAGAAAGGCATGTGTTCTCACAGGAAAACATGAGCCAAAAATGAGAACAGCCTCAGAAACTGGAAAAGGCAAAATCAGATCTTCTGTAGAGTCTGAGGAGGAAGAAGGGTCCTGATGACACACAGTGTGATTTCAGCACAGGGGGGCCCATTTCAGACTTCTGGTCTCTAAGACTCAGTGAATGCCTTATTTCCTCAGATGCACGTTGGAGACATACAGATGACCATCTGCTCACTCCTTAGTCTCTTGTCTGAAATTTCCTCCACAGCTCCCACAGGATGGCCCACTGAGGCATAGGAAATAGTTAAGGTCTCCTCAAAAACATTTGTGGGAACACTGAACAAATAACATGTGTGGTAAATAACCAATGATTTTGTAGAGGCCTGGAAGGACCCTAACCACCAACATTGTTCCAATTCCACATACATTTTCACCTTACTTGTAAGCAAGCATATACATAAATCTTTCAAAGATATCCTCTCCTAGAATCTTTTTTTTATTGTTGTTCAAGTACAATTGTCTCCATTTCCCTCCACTGCTTCCCGCCACTCCACCTATCTCCACCTCCCACTCTTGATCCTAACCCACTTTGGCTTTGCCCATGTGTCCTTTATACATGATCCTTCATGACCCTTCCCCTTTTTCTCTCTGTTATCCCCTCCCCAGTTCCCTCTGGTTACTGTCAGTTTTTTCTTTATGTCAATGTCTCTGATTATATTTTGCTTGCTTGTATGTATTTTTAATGGAAAAAAATTTTAAGTTGATGTTTATTTTCTCTTTTTTATTGTTGTTCAAGTACAGTTGTTTCCATTTTCACCCCACCATGCCCCCTGCCCCACCCATCCACACTTCCCATCTGAGAATCTACCTTCTTTGGCTTTGTCCATGTATCCTTCACAGGTGTTCCTTGATGACCCTTCCCCTATTATCACCTGTTATCTTTCTCCCCATCCTCTCTGGTTACTGTCAGTTTGTTCTTTATTACAGTGTCTCTGGTTGTATTTTGTTTGTTTGTTTGTTTTCTTGATTAGGTTCTACTTATAGGTGAGATCATATGGTATTTGTCTTTCACCACTTAGCTTACTTCACTTAGCATAATGCTCTCCAGATGCATTCATGCTGTCGTGAAGGGTAGGAGCTCCTTCTTTCTGCTGTGTAGTATTCCATTGTGTAAATGTACCATAATTTTTAAAAAATATATTTTATTGATTATGCTACTCCATTTGTCTCATTTTCTTCCTTTTATTCCCCTCTGTCCTGCATACCCTCTTTCATCCCATTCCACTCACCGCCCTCCACTTAGTTCATGTTCATTGTTGTACATGTAAGTTCTTTGGCTCCTACATTTCCTATATTATTCTTAACTTCCTGCTGTGTATTTTCTATCTACCATTTATGCTACTTATTCCTTGTACTTTTTCTACCTTTCTCCTCAACCCCCTCTCCTGCTGATAACCCCCCATGTGATCTCCATTTCTGTGATTCTGTTACTGTTCTAGTTGTCTGCTTAATTTGTTTTTATTTTTGTTTTTGTTTTTTAGGTTCAGTTGTTGATAGTTGTGAGTTTGTTGTCATTTTACTGTTCATAGGTTTGATCTCCTTTTTTCTTAGATAAGTCTCTTTAACATTTCATATCATACGGGCTTGGTAATGATGAACTCCCTTAACTTGACCTTATCTGGGAAGCACTTGATCTGCCCCTCTATTCTAAATGATAGCTTTGCTGGATAGAGTAATATTAGATGTAGGTCCTTGCCTTTCAAGACTTTGAATACTTCTTTTCAGCCCCTTCTTGCCTGTAAGCTGATTAGAAATCAGCTTATAGTCTTCTAGGCACTCCATTGTAGGTAACTGTCTTCTTTTCTCTTGTTGTTTTTTAGATTCTCTCCTTAACTTTAATCTTAGGTAATGTAGTCATAATGTGCCTTGGTGTGTTTGATTCCTTGCATCCAACTTCTTTGGGGCTCTCAGACCTCCCTGGACTTCCTGGAAATCTATTTCCCTAGCCAGATTGGGGAAGTTCTCCTTCATTATTTGTTCAAATAAGTTTTCAATTTCTTGCTCTTACTCTTTTCCTTCTTGTACCACTATGATTCAGATGTTGGAATGTTTAAAGATGTCTTGGAGGTTCCTAAGTCTCTCTCCTTATTTTTTTGAATTCTTGTTCCTTCATTCTGTTCTAGCTAATTAATTCTTTCTCCTTTCTGGTCCAAACCACTGATTTGAGTCCCAGTTTCCTTCCCTTCACTGTTGGCTCCCTGTGCATTTTCCTTTATTTCACTATTCATAGTTTTCACTTTTTCCTCTATTTGGCGAACATACTCAGCTAATTCTGTGAGCATTCTGATTACCAGTGTTTTGAACTGTGCATCTGATAGGTTGGCTGTTTCTTCATCACTTAATTGTATTTTTTTCTTGAGCTTTTGATCTTTTCTTTCATTTGGGTAATTTTTGTTTGTTTTGGTATGCCTGTTATGTAGGAAGTGGCAGAGCCTTAGGTATTCACCATGGCAGGGCAACCCAGGTAACTGCGTTGTGATGCTGTATGTGGGGGAGGGATCAGAGAAGAAACAATGGCACTTGGTTAGCGCTCTGACGGCTTTCAATTACTTCCCCCACTACCCACAAGCTAATTAGGCCTTTTGGGTGCTGATTGCCAGGTGGGTGGTTTTGTGTGTGTTCTAGGACTCTGTGGATCTCTCCAATGAACTCTCCTGTGAGGCTGGGAGTTTCTTCTGCTGCCTCATTCCCACAAGTTTTTTCAGTCAGAGGTTTTGGGGCTTTATTTCCTTGTTCTGGAACCCTGGGTGGCATGGTCTCTTGTATCCCCAGTTGTCCCTCCCTGTTTATCTGCACACAAATGTGGGACCATCCACTCTTCTAGCCACTATGTCTCCTGCCCCCATCCTCCAGGCACTGCCTTGCTGCAAGGCCTCTCCACCTGGCTGCCTGTCTCTGCCCCTCCTACTGGTCTGAACGAATGTTTCTTCTTTAACTCCTTGGTTGTCAGACTTCCATGCAATTCAATTTTCTGTCAGTTCTGGTTGTTTTTTGTTTTTAAATTTGTCGTTGTCCTTCTTTTGGTTGTGCAAGGATGTGCGGTGTGTCTATCTATGCCTCCATCTTCTGAACCATAATCTTTTGATCCACTCATTTAATGATGGGCACATAGGTTGCTTCCAGCACTTGGCTGTTGTAAATTGTGCTGCTATGAACATTGGGGTGCATAGGTTCTTTTGGGTTGGTGTTTCATGATTCTTAGGGTGTAATCCCAACAGTAGAATTGCTGGGTCAAAAGGCAGTTCCATTTTCAGATTTCTGAGGAAATTCCATACTATTTTCCACAGTGGCTGCACCAGTCTGCATTCACACCAATAGTGCACTAGAATTTCCTTTTTTCCCCAACCTCATCAGCACCTGTTGATTGTTGATTTATGATGGCCATTCTCATCAGTGTGAAGTGGTATCTCATTGTGGTTTTAATTTGTATCTCTCTGATAGCTAGTGATGCTGAGAAACCTTTCATATGTCTTTGGGTCCTCTCTATGTCCACCTTGGAGAAGTGTCTGTTCACATCCTTTGCCCATTTTTCAACTGGGTTGTTTGTCTTTCTGGAGTGGAGTTGTGTGAGTTCTTTATATATTTTGGAGATCAAGTACTTGTCTGAGGTATCATTTGTAAATATGTTTCCCCATATGGTTGGTTCCCTTTTTGTTTTTCTGATGTTTTCCTTAGCCATGCAGGAGATTTTTAGTTTGATGAAATTCCATGTGTTTATTCTCTCCTTTATGTCCCCTTCTCTAGGGCACACATCAGTGAAAACATTGCTGAGTGGAATATCTGAAATGTTTCTGCCTGTGTTCTCCTCTAGGACTTTTATGGTGTCATGACATATATCTAAATCTTTTATCCATGTTGAGTTTATTTTTGTATAAATTGGTGTTTGAGTTTCATTTTTTTTTGCATGTAGCTGTTGAAATCTCCCAACACCATTTGTTGGAGAGTCTATTTTTGCTCAATATTATGCTTCTGCCCCCTTTGTTGAACACTAATTGACCATAGAAACTTGGGTTTATTTCTGGGCTGTCTATTCTGTTCCATTGATTTGTATGTCTGTTCTTATGCCAGTACCAGACTGTTTTGATTACCATGGCCTTGTAATATCTTTTGATGTCAGATATTGTGATTCCTCCTATTTTATTCTTCTTCCTCAATATTGCTTCAGTTATTCAGAGTCATTTATTTTTCCATATAAATTTTTGAAATGTTTGTTCTATATCTGTGAATTATGTCATTGGTACTTTAATAGGGATTACATTGAATCTATAAATTGCTTTGGGTAGTGTGGACATTTTGATGATGTTGATTCTTCCAATTCATGAACCTGGTATATGTTTCCAATTATTTGTTTCTAACAATATGGAAGGCTTCACAAATTTGTGTGTCATCCTTGCACAGGGGCCATGCTAATCTTCTATCATTCCAATTTTAATATATGTGCTGCCAAAGCAAGCGCCACTCAGAATCTTGACTGTGTGGGAAGTGTAAGGACTCCCTAAAAGGCCAGTGGGGTAAAGGCCCCAGATCTTGGGCATGGGGAACCAATGCCTTCACTGTCCTTTGATCACCAGGAGACCCCTGAAGTGCACTCACAACATAGGAGACATTCTTGGCTTTTTGTCATTTGCATAAATTCCATGTACCTGTTTCAAAGAGTCCACAAACAAAAAACAAGGTATTGGAAAATAGACACTACCTTCTGGTTCTGATGAGCTTGTTTTGGCTCTGATTGCCTCCTGAGCATAGAACAAAATCCTAGAAAGACCTGCAGGCTGGTTGCCCTTTTGAAACCAAAGGACCATCAGGAGGCCAGAAAATATGTAAAATCTTGGAGAGAATTAGATGGGAAATTTTAATGATTGGAAAAGCAGAAATGAGAGGAAGTGTATATGTTGTAATCTTGGTTTCAAATGAAGATAAAATGTAGGGAGAAGAGGCAGAAGAGCATATTTTCAGGAAAAGGCTGAGAACTCCAAAGTGAAGGAGAAGTCATAGTCCAATTGCAGAGAAGTGAGTCATTGGAGTTGGTTGAGGGAGGTGGAAAAGAAGAGGCAGCTATTCTTCCAGGTATGGTCATGGTCTTGAGAGGCAGGATGGCTTTTTGAAAGAAACAATAATGTACTTGGAGGCTTGGAGGACTTCCTTTGATACTGGGACCAAACACTTAATTAGGGGAGTCCATGGAGGAGGCATGCACTCCTATAGATGAAGGGGAAAAATTAAACAAGAAACTGTCAAAAAACAAAACAAAACAAAACAAAACAAAACAAAAACACCGGTGAGCAGGGTTGGGGTTGTAGTAGTGCTGGGATGGAAGGAGAGAATGTGTCCCTCAACAGAGGTAGCCAGAGAAACATGTGGGCTCTAACCATGTGAGTGCAGGAACTTGCCTTTTAGGACTTTGTAGTCCCAGGTAAGGGGCAACAAGGCCTTTGGAGGGGTGTGAGAGAGAGACTGGAGGCCACTGAGGGACCAGGAGCCTGGGTAGCAAGGACAGATGAGAGGGTGTAAAAACCATACAGGTAAACTGAAGCAGAAGAGGCAGGAGGAGATTCCAAGGAGAGAGGAATTCTGGGAGTGAATGTCAGATCTGAAGAGGGTTTTAAAACTTCATTCTGGGAAAACAGTGGGAAAGGCAGGTGGATTGGTGTTGAGGGGAGTGTGCCAACCAGAGTTCAGGGATCTTGGTTTCTATAAAGGATTGCAGGCCAGGGTTTTCAGTGACTGACTCTGTCTAGGGGTAGACTGGTGCTGCTTGTTTCCCAAGGCAGATGTGGTTCTAGCAGTTTCATCTTGGCCTGGAAACACCTTAGAAGCACAAAATGTTACCTTTCCAGTACCCTAAAACCTCTGACCCTAAAGGCTGCAGTTGGCTGTAAGTGCCCATAAAAAAGTCATAAAAGGCACAGAGTGGAGGCCAGGGAGCAGCCTGGCAGTGGGGATTGTGGTACCTGATGGAGGGGGAGTGAGGCAGCGTGTTCTTGAAGTTTGCTGAGCTTAAGAGATTGAGAAAAAAGGTGAGTGAGAGTTGTGGACTAAGGACTTCAGATACCAGCAGGGACTCTGGCACTTTTGGTGCCCAGCCCAGGACTACCTGGGCTACAATGTGATACCCAGATGGTAGCTGCTTGTCTGGGCTTTGGGGAATGTCAGAGAGGTCATGCTATGACCCAAGGCTAGCTGCCACCAGCACTAAGCCCAGGCCACTCCATAAAAGAAAAAGGGCACACTGAGTGTTTGTAAGTGAGTCTGTGCACAGGCTTTTAAAAAGGAGGCATGAATTTCACAAGCCTGCTATTTCACCTGGATGGAGTCCCTACTGAGTCAGATGGGGTGGGGTCTCAGGGAATCATCAGGGTGGGGTGAGCAGTGTTGGCCACGTTAAGGCAGATTTAAATTTGGTACCCACCTGCATGCAGATTGGCGGCAAGGCTCAACACAGAGATACGGGCCACCCTTGCCTTTATGCCACCCAGCTCAGGTTTTTTCCTAATTTCTCTGGTTCCTTATGGGCTGCTGTCCCTTTGCTGGAACTTAGAGTGAGTGCCTGTGAGCAACTGTCTATGTGTGGGTCCTTTGAGAGGACACATGTGTTTCCAACAGCCCCGCACTTCACTGGGACAGAATCCCCACCAGTTTCCACAGCCAGCTGCTGTGGGGACTCCTATTCCTTGTACTGGGGCCTTAGGCAGGAGAGCTTTCTATGGGGCTAGGATCATTCACTCCCTAGAGGACTTCTGCAGCCAAGATATTTTTCCTGATTCTCAACCACCACACATGGCTTTGGGACCATCCTGTTTTATGTTTTCATTAGTCTTATCAGTCTAGTCCTGTTTACTTTTTTATATCCATAGTTATATTATAGTTTTGTCAACTAGTCTTCAGATGGCTTTTAGGTTTATTGCTCTATAATTTACTTGTAGTTGTGATATGGTTGTAGGAGGAGGAAAGCACAGTATTTTCCTGCTCCACCATCATGATCTGAACGTCTGTAGGAATTCCCCCGGATCTTTGCTCCTTTATCTCTTGGTTAGGTCTATTAGTGACACCATCATTGACCTTTCATAGCTTTTGTTTCTAAAGACACTATGTTAAGAGCTCTCTGTTACATCTTTGCACACTAGCTTGCACTCTGATAGTGCAGCTTATTAGGGTTATTACTCCCACAATGCTTTTGATGGCTATGTGCTGGCCTCTGTAATTCTCAGATTCTATCACCCTTGTTGCTACTACAAAGTTTTGTTCTGTAACAGGACCTCCTGTTTTCAGTTCTGATCTCTTGAGGATATCCACCACGTGCATTTCAGTGACACAGTTTCTTCACCAGTTGGACCTCAACAGCACACCTGAGGCTCTTACTTGGGTTTAGGGTTTCCAACTAATATAGGAGATGCATCTCAGTATGTCCCCTTTTCTGAAGTTTATGATTCTCAATATCACTGTAAGAGTGCCCTGCAATTGAGTTCTGAGGCTCACATTCAGAGTTAGCACAATACCCAGTGGCTAAAAGAAACTTCCTTCATAAGACTCTCCTGACATCAACACTAGCCACACATGTGGAGTTCCAAGGCCACCCAGACTTTTGTCCAATGAGCTACTTCAGGGCTTTCCACAATCCCAGTGGGTTGAGTATTTTGCCAAAATGACTCATAGAACTCGACAAAATTCCATACTTATGATTATAGTTATATCACAACAATGTAATACAATTTGGAACTAACAAAAAGAGAGACATATAGAGCTATGTCATTGAGAATTCCACTAGTGAATCAGCCAATGTCTTCTCTTAAAGGAGGCAGGACACACCATGCTCAGCCACATTGAAGGTTTTAACAACCAAAAGCTCACCTGATCATTAGTGTCCAGAATGTTTATTGGGTTTAATTTCATAGGCAGTTGTGACTGACATGGGCAATGGTATTGAATTCGGTCTCTATTTTCACTTGTTTATCTGGATGTCAGGTCTGCTGAAAGCCCAATCTATTAACCACATGGTTCATATTTTAAGTGACCAGTTCCCCTTCTGAGTTGTGTTGCTAACATGAGCTCAGATGGGATCCAAAGAGTCCTGAATACAAATTGTTGGTAAAATTTCCTGGACTTGATAGACCAAATAATGAAGTTGACAACTCCAGAATTCTATCAGTTTAGTGGAAACTTAAGAATTATGTAGAACAGGGAAGTGTGGATAGGGGTATTGCTTTGAGACCCAACCCAGATAAATAGGACAAATTTTTCATGTTATTTCTTTGCAAGGAGCCAGCCTGTTACAAGAATCAACATGCTTTTGAGAATAAGGGGGAGGTAAAGCAGAAAGACTCCTAGGGAATTTATGGGAACAATGTATGTATTGGCCAAGATCTAGCCTGGGGGACAGGCATCAGCCATATCACAGAACAGTCTCTGCTTCACCATCCATCAATCCTGACTGACTTTAAAACCTCGTATGCCCCTTCTTCTGCAAGGTGCATGAGTGGTCAACCAGGGGCTTCAAAGCAGAAAACACACTGAAGACATGGTCTAGACCAAAAATACAGACACATACAAGAAATAAACAAATTAAATAAAGCCAATCGATACTAGTCAAAAAGTTTTATCATACCTCCTGAGACCAGAATCAGTATGCTAACAAGAATCAAAAGTGTAAGAGGTACTCAAGTGAGCCTCAGCGCACAGGTTCAAAATCATTCCTTTGCCAATATATTTATAATTTATCAAGAAACATGATATTTGTTTTTTAAATTTGTTTATTAATGTATATATTTAATATATATATTTATTTGTTTATTAATGTATATATTTATTTTTTTGAATGGAATGAATTGAGGTGATGTCAGTTAATATAATAATACAGGTTTCAGGTAGACCACTCTGCAATCTATCCCCTGTATGTGTTATTGTGTGTCTATCATTCCAAGGAAAGTACCCCTCCCTAAATATTTGTCCCCACTGTACATATTTTCTGCCTCCACGATCCACATTTTCTTTGACAGTCAGCACACTGTTGTTTGTGTCCATGTTTCTTTCTATTATTCTTCAAATTATTGTGAAATTCTTTGAATATGTCCAATAAAAGACCTTAGGTTCTTGCTTTCTTCGTGTTTTATTTCTCCTTAAGGACTTCAGGGGAGGGCTTGAATTCTGCATCTTGTGGCTGGTGGGAAACAAAATCTCCTCCATAATCAGAAATCTTGTCAGAATCTCTTTGACACCTTTCATTTTCTTGAAGGAAGTTTATGTGTGAACAGCAGTTCTTCACCTTTCACCAAAAAACGTTCATACTTTTGAAGTTCTTCAGCAAATTCCAGCTGTGGGCCAGTTTCACACCAGAGTTTCTGGTGTGTTTGGCACCATTCACTACATCTTTGTTTGATCTGATGTGGAAGCAGACTGCTTGTTTGATGCTCTAGATATTAGCTGACATATTTCAAAGCAAAGTCACTTGCCTCACTGCAA